CGGTGGTAAGATGAGAGAATTAGGTTAGAGAATTGCTTCGTTTACCATTTAGGGTCCTAATCTTATATAAAGACTCGACACAAGACTCATTTAATAAACATTATTTCCAAATCCAAAAGAGCGCCAAACAAAATGTCCGATCAATCTCCAATCACTGATCCTTACGCTTATCTCAACATTGTGAAGACACAAAGATGGTTCAATCACTCGCGACTTCGTCCAAGGTCTTCCATGATTTCTGCTCAACCATGGCTCGTGATCTCAACGCGATCGTTGTTGCTCCTTCGTACAGGCTAGCTCCGGAGCATCGTTTACCGGCGGCGTACGAAGACGGGACCGAGGCGTTGGATTGGATTGGAAAATCCGACGATGAGTGGATCAGATCTCACGCTGATTTCTCTAATGTGTTTCTAATGGGAACGAGCGCTGGGATTGAGATTTGCAGATTCCGTCTCCGATCTGATTCCGTTACAGATCCGTGGATTGATTCTACACCATCCGTTCTTCGGCGGAGAAGAGCGATGCGGATCTGAAGATTCGACTTGTGAACGATCGGATTCTTCCTCCGGTAATCACCCATGTTTTCTGGGATCTTTGTCTTCCCGTCGGAGTTGATCGTGATCATGAGTATTCGAATCCGACGGTGGGAGGTGGATCGGAGAATCTGGAGAGAATCGGAGTGGTGAATTGGAAAGTGATGGTGATCGGAGGAGAAGAAGATCCGATGGTAGATCGGCAGAGAGATTTCGCGGAGGTGATGAAGAAGAAAGGGATTGAAGTGACGGAGAAATTTACCGGCGGCGATGCTCACGCTGCTCAGATATTTGATCCTTCAAAACGTGAAACTCTGTTTGTTTCCGTTTGAGATTTCATTTCTTCTTCTTCCTCTGCTCTGTAACGGTTTCTTTCTTTTTTTTGAAATTCCTCATATTTATATAAGGAATAAAGTTATATATATATAAGGAATAAAGTTATATTAAAGGCCCAAGAGGTTGTTATTTTTACCCGTCGAAATTAGTAATATAGATAAGCCCAAAATAATTAAGGCCCATGAAATATATCATCTTCGAAACCACTGTATATGTTTGTTGTATACATATCTCTCTTCTGCTCGTATGCTATATAATCAAAACCAATAAATCGATTTGTTGTTGATAGGTTTATTTTACAACACTAATGCATTATCTATGGTTTAAATATATGGATCATATTGCAATAACGGTACTAGCAGAAACTATTAGGCTCGTAGTTTTTTTTCTTTTTTTCTTAAAGAGACTCAAACATATATCTTTTTTATAAAATTATGCCATGTCACAAATAACTTGTTTATCATTCTCAACAAGTATATTAAAATTAGTAATACAATTCTCAAAAATAGGGTCTTTAAAAAGGTACATTTTTAGTGACGACATTCGTTTTTTTTTTTTTACTTGCAAGCTTTCCTTTGTACCTTGAAAATCGGCGAATGAATATTCTTTTGCTGCATATGATCTAAAATTCAATTTATAATCCCACATAAATACTTTTCCTACATAGAATATTCCACATAAAAAATGGAGATGATTCAATACAAATATAAAGAATATGTGCTTCTCTAAGCTGGTTGAGATTTTATTCCAAATACTAGTTTTCGAAAAGATGACTTATGTCTTAATAGGTAATTACCTCAAGTTTAGCGGCTAGTTTATCTAGGTTAGTTTTGGTGATTGATCAAGTTTTACTTTTCATCACAAAATGCGGAGTCATGCAATCAACAATGAGACAATCAAGGTGACATATTTCTAAACAATCATTTTCAAAGCTAATAATTCATGAAAAACTCTTTTAATTCTAGAACCTTGCTAGATGACTACTCAAACATGATGCAAGTACACAAACATCAAGGATGAGTAAACTAGGTTATCAAAGTAAAGGTTTCTCTATAAAGAAGTACAAAGACTAGAACTTTCTTTGAATCTCTTACAATAATCTTCAAACTATCTATTGTAAGAGATTGAAAAAAAAAAAAAAACTAGATTATTGTAAGAGATTATGTCTCCAGAACTTTTAGATGTAAGAGATTATGTCTCCAGAACTTATAAGTTATGCATCTTACAACGAACGAATATAAACTCATTACATTTGCCCGGTTTCTTTTGAAATGTACCAATGACCAAGTCTTGAAATTAAATTTAGGTACTGCATTTGGAAGAAACAACTTGTGGGCACGATAGTTTATTCATAGACTCACAGTGCACATTTTCATGAAATTTATTTAATTTACAAGAGTTAAATTTCATGATTAGACTATATACTATATGGGCCTACTACTCCTTATAACAGCCATTATAGTTAACTTAGCCCATTAATGTTACGTACCACTCTGCCATACGGAAGAAATGATAGAGCAACATTAAACTCAACTAACTTTTATGTTCACTATGGCATTGGATTTTGATTTTTGAAATCTATCAAGATTATTTACTACTATTTAGCAACATTTATTTTGTTCTCACCAAAGTGTTGACTACAAACAGTCATTGCATGTTTTCTAAAACCAAAATTTTTATATAAACAAAAAGTTGAAACTAACTTTAAAACATACACACTAACCATATAAATTTATAGCGATTAAAAAAAACATTCAACAAAAATTGATTTAAGATTTTCACTAATTTAGCAATGACCAATAAATTACGAATTACTTCTATACATGATAACAGTTTTAACATGATCATGTATTAAACGATGTATTCATTTTACAAAAAGTGTTGTTTTAGATTTATTTTTTTATTTTTTAAGAATGTTGTTCTTCGTTTTCAATTTGATTTTTCAAATGCCTATCTAATTGTGACATATAAAAAAAAATTAAAACCTTTGAATTTAAATTATTGTCATTTCATTAATGATATATATTAAATATGGGCATACTTGTGTGTTTTAAAAATTTATCAATTCATGTTAAATATGTCAAAACAACTTTTCATAAAACATACTAATAGTATGTAAATCTATCTTTACGAGAGAAAAAAAAAATTGTCCCACAACTCGAATTAGGGAGCACACCTACATTTTGTGCTTACCACTTGAACACCACCATCTTGTGACAAATTTCAATAAATATAATCTTCAATGGATGTTAACAACACTAACATGAATTAACTCTTAGGATTAAAATTGGGAATATCGAAACGTTTAAATAATAGAAAAATCCATTCATGTTGGATTGACAAGATAAGTATATATATAAACAATAAATTATGTGATTTGAATTGTGATTACTACTTGGAATCTTGACAAAAAAAACATAACATAAAATGGTCCAAATATATATAATAGAATTGGTGTGGTCCCTTATAGGTGATAGCAAAATTGCAGGAGGTTGCATTGATGTTTATAGAAGAAAAATCCAGAAATGTAAACTGGGATCTTTCTTAATTAGCATGAAACTGGAGAAACATTTTTCTCATTGGCTCTTTTCTCTCTTCTTCGTTTTGTTTGTTTTAAGCACAATCTATACAAAATAAAATAAAATCCAGTCCTTTTCTCTGTTATTTGTTTTTAGTTTTGTTTAAATTCAAAGGACAACTTTAATTTGGAGTGTACTATGACGATACTCAAAAATTTCATGTGATTTGTACTGGCCATATTCACTTAAATAATCTTGTTATGGTCCAGTCTTCTCTTCATTTATGAATTGACATTGTACACAAAGGTGTGGTTTTTTATTATCTGTGCGTTATCTACGGGTTGTTTTTTATTTTACTTTCAATACTAGCTCAAATTCTCTTACTGTATATACATACAATCTAAGGAAGATTAATTATATGTATCCGTATGCATGGAACCACGATGATAAAGTCAATACTTCTTGCAAATTAAATGCACAAAGCTAATTAAATTTTACTAATTTGATTTGATCATACGAGCGATTATGAAACAACGGTCATTTGAGTCATTATACAAATGATTATTACTACTCATTAGTCATTAATATGCAAATAATAATGCTCCTATCTAAGTGGTGATTTCACATCACATTTATTGATAGATCAGATAAACACTATTGTACTTGTTTAATGGTTAGTGGATATTAAATTGTGAGAAAACAAGTCAAAATCAAATTTAGGATAAAATTTGAAAGGAGAAAGACGTCATGGTTTGAAACATAAGGGTCACGATTGAAGATCCCCTCGTTGTTCGGTAATACCGCCATGGAGTTAGTGTACGAATCTTATTGTAGTTTGAGCTTTTGAGTTGTTTTTAAATTCATTAGTTTTGGAGATTTGTTTAGAAACAGTGTTATAGATGCGAGTCTTACATAGTTTAAGTATTTAGTTTAAATAATTTTTACTATTCAAATAGCATTACATATCGTTTTATATGCTTGTGGGTCTATATTGAACGCATACTTGATTAATTACTTGTCCAAAATAACTACGTTAAAAAGTATGCATCTAAGCAACAAAAACGAAATATAAGTTGAC